CAATGACACTAAAATATGAAAAAACGAAATCTGCTTCAGCTGGCTAAAACAATTACTGCCGACACCAGGAGTCAAACCGACGTCAAGACACAGCAAAACAAGATAAAAGGCAAATGCCTTAACCATTGCACCACCGAACCAAGTACAGCAGCTGGCTAACCTAAGACGCTGTTGTAGGCACATATTGTCAGAGCTTTACTGAAACTAAATTCAGTCTGACAATAAAAAGAAATCTTAATAGTGCCAACAGTAAAATATTATCATATATTGTGCCTACCTTTGCTCTCACAAGGTTTCAAATAGCATGATCTGGAACCTTTAAAATCAAGTGGGGCATTTTTTTTTTGCACCATCAACTGACATCAAACCAAGTTCAATATCATCTGTTGCTAAAAGACAAATTTAGGTGAGAATGATTTTGACGATATTGGCATTTAGAAGCCAAGTAAAACACCAAAGTAAAAGAACACAGCCGACACAAGAACATTAATAAAACGTGTCAGAGATGAAAAAAGTCTTATATTTCTTTTAATTGACAGGTAAACATCTTTCAGGACAATGTTTGGTAATCACACAGTAATCAGCAACAGTACAATAGAAAGCATCCCATCTGCGTTTTGAGCCTTTAAACGCTGCCACATCCCGATGTCTCTCTGACGAAGGGAAGAATCTTGAGACGGGGCTTTTTATTGAGTCTCCTCAGACAGACAGAACAAGTACACACCCTACCCCCTTTTTTTAAGGCTTAAACGGGGAGTGCGGGGGGTCAACCACTAAGGGGTTGACGGGAATAAAAGTCAAACAAAAACACAAGTTTTCTTTTCTTATTTTATTAATGTCAAGTTCTGTCACAGTTTGAACTTTCTCGTCTCTTGTGTTTAAAAACATTTCTCCAAAAAATGCAATTCATTGCTAATCTAATCATGGAGTGTCAGGTCCAAGGCTACTTCTACATAAAATATATATCAGATAATCATCGTCACCATCACCAGAGTACGTTCAGAGCATCATGAGGAAAAGTGAAAAGCATTTTCTGCTCATTTACTTTAATAATGCTGGTTCCAGTCAAAACGGAACCAATTAGGTTTCAGTTTTCTTTCTATAAAACGGTATAAAGACGAGAATGGTCCCTATACGTTGAGTAACCATCCCATATTGCATTGGACATTAAAGAATGCGGTCATTTAATAATAAGTATTTAATCAGAAAAATAAGAAGAGCCCAGTGCAATTAGGAAGTCATCCTACAAATGGAAACATCTGAAAATGCAAATATCAAAATCTTTAAAACATCCAGAATATTATTTCCCAAACCTTTTTTTTTCCTATAAATCAGAACATGCAGTAGTCCAAAACTGTTTCCTCAAGAACAGGATTTAAATATAAAAATCTAAAGATCTTTAAATCATAATATGAAGTAGCCACTCTACCAAAGTGTACTGAATAACTGAACTGGGCCATGTGGGTCGGTTTAAATCGGAAACATCTGCAGTGAATCAGATGAGAGTGAGACAGGAAAAAAGGCTGTCTTCACACTACCTAAAACCTCCCATCACTGACAATCTGTGCAGCAAGAGGACGTGAAACAAATAAAAAATGATTCATCTGGAGAAATGACCGACTGTGCTGTGTTCAGAGTGGACAGTGACCACTCAGTCCACTTAATGCTTCTGTGTCAGAACTGGAAGAAAAACATGAGCATGCTGTGATCGGGTGTGGAGCTTTTTAATGCCTTACAAGATGAGATTTCTATTTTAGTGAATGGTGAGTTAAGTCTAAATTCACAGATGTTGTGAATGTCTGAAAACCAACCAGAGCTGTAGTGGTGAGCCACAGAAGTTTCATCTCCCAGTTCTGACTTCTAGAAGCACACCATGTGGGAGAGGACAATCCAATGGGAGTGAAGAAAGAGCATTACTCTGATCATCAATGGTAATGATTTTTTTCCCACATATCCCGTCTTTATAAAGGTGTGTGTAAGTACCAGCAAGTTCCAATGGTCATACAGCTGCTCTAGCACATTGAGAAGTTCTTTGAAGGTGTTACCAGACCAAATGTGAGATATAATCTTTCTAGGGAATCTTGGATCTTCCATGAACACCTGAATCACTCCCTTAAAAGGTATACAAAAGGCTTCTTTAGCAGATTCCCAAACCAAAACAACAGGCTCCTTTTGGTTTGAAGAAGCAATGCAACTCTTCACCCTGTTCCTGATGGTGAGTCCAGCCACTCTTGGCGCTTACACATTAGCATCAGCACGGTCGGGAATTGGCCAGGCTGGATGGCGTGAGTTTGGTATCGAACGGGTGGTGTAGTGTTCACATATAATCAGTCCTTAGTGTCGCCTTGGTCCCAGTCTGGCCGCCCGAGAGAAGGTCTGAAAAAAGAGTCGCCTTGGAACCGAAAACGAAAATCTGACCTGTGTGTGAAACCAAATTCCAGTTCCAGAAGGGACCGTAAGGGACCGAACTGACGCTAATGTGTAAGTGCCATCTGTGAAGGAAGCTCAGTTCAGTCACTTGTGTTTATGATCTCTTTCTTGGGAGCCCAGAAATTGAACATTAATTGGTGAAATTAAGAAGCCAACACGTAGACGATCATGAACTTTGAAAATATTGCCTCAATGCTTCTGTTTGTCTTGCCACGCTACATAGGAGCCTCAGCAGGCCTGTACAGTCTTGTGTCTTGCCTATCACAGTGCTCTATCAGCTTGGTAGGCGGAATGACTGGGCGAAACGGCTTTGGCATTAACTTTGGACTATTTTAACCTGGGCTTTTCTTTGATTCCAAAGCAGATAGAGGTACTTAAGTCCTTCATTTAAAAAAGGATGTATTTGTGTCTTCTTCGAAAGTGCATGGCCAACTGCCACGTTGACTGACATCCGTAGTGGTAAGTTTATCTCATTGCTCCTTGTCCAACAGCATGTGGAGACAATTTGAAAGACAACCGTAGATTCTTCCCCTCCACTGAGTTCTGTTTATGGTTCATGGCCAGACTATACATTCACATATGAAGGATCGCTTGCAAAGCTAACTGTCTGCCTTTTTAAGCTAGAAACATCAACAAATTAAAATTATCCTTAAAAGGTATCGATAGAATTTGAAGCCCAGAAATCTTTTGGTGGATTCTAGAAATTTGGCTAAGAATCTGTGAGATAGACCAACCCTGGTAACGTCCAAAACAATTTACTGGCAACCAAGCTCTTCCTCCAGTTCATGGATTTGAGTGTCCCTTAAGGAACCCCAAATCCCAAAACTAACAACTCTGGTAATATTTAATGTCTTATCAACTTTTAATGACCCCACAGATATTTAGTGTTGGTTGGGTTGGTAACATCAAAAGGATTCAAGTGACTTTGGACAGCATCAAAGCACTTTGGTTTTTATCCACTGGGTTGCTCAAGACTTGTGCATGTTTCATGCTCACACTAATCACGTGAAATCAACAGCAAACAAAAGAAAACAACGCTGTCCCAGCCAGCTCTTTTAAGAAATCCAAATCCACACTAGAACACTTCCAAACAAATACTTTCTTGTGCCGGTGTGCCAAACCCTAGACTGTGCACAAAAAGGAAAAGAATAAAGGATATTTTGTGCTGAGTCGGAATAGAAATATGGCTTGATAAGAAAACATTCAGCCACTCAAAGAACAATACTGGTCGTTCTTTGTTATCCACACCAAGAGTTTGATAGTTTTGACAGCAATCAGTGGAAACTGAAGATGAAGGAACAAATGTGGAATGGCTTATTGAGTCGTCAGTAGAGATGTTCGTCACTCTTCTGTTTGCACAGTAACACCTTCAGCAGGTGGGCCTGAGCTTCTGGAAAAATCTACAGTACCCCTGACCCCCACAGAGCCATGCCCACCCGTCTACATCAAGGTGCAAGTACCTACAGTAGTAGCATGACCTCTAGAATTGGAAATATTTTCAAGCGTCATATAAAAAAGGTTTTATATTATTTATAGCAGTTCTAGCATGTCTGTATGAATACAAGAATGTGACTGTTTGATGTGTGAATGTTACTATAATTTCTACAGGTACATAGGTACATATTAGTATTATTATTATTGCACTCTGGCTACACGTATTTAAAAACTTAGTTTGGTTGTCTTTAAAAGTACAGAAACACAGAAGTCAGAGCTAAAGAACAGTAGGCTCAGTAATGCTACATCAAGATACTCCTATGAAGTTATTCATTTTTCATATTTTAATGGTGGTACCACACCCTTTAGTGATCAGAAAAATACTGCAAAGTACAGCATTTTGTCCTTTGTGTTCAAACTTTTGAAACCAGGGATGTCTGTTTTTGTTTGGGCATATGTGCAGATTAGCTGTGTGGTGTCCATGGGAATGCTTTCAGATATTTAAAGGGACATTTAGGCTATTTGTTTGTGTGAAAGTAATTTAAAAATCATAGTACCCGAGCAGATTTTCAGTCCAGTCGTAGCCAAGGCCAAAGTGTATTGCTGCCATCTTAAAGTAGTACAAAATTTTCATTTGTTTTTACATTCTGTCCATGGCCGCTGTTGAGCCATGAGTCGTGCACATTGCTCTGATTCATCTAACAGGTGAAAATGAATGAACATAAATGTCCACGACTAGCAGATGAAGCAAACTGAATGTAAATATAAGATGGAAATCCCCTCCATATGTTTCTGAAGAGCTGAATTCAGACTTTACTCAATGCTCGGTTCCAATCAATGCCACCTTGGCTATGTCACACGCGTTGTCACTCCCGGAAAATACAAAACAGGAGCTGAGATTGGGGCTGTGAGGATTAGAGCAGATGATTGAAACTAAACAAACTCTGAACCGATGCAGCTACGAGATAAATGAGCTAACTGAAGCTAACAGAATTTGTTGGACGCTTTTAGCGCTTCAGTGACTCCGCTACCCTCTGCCTTCTAAGCAGGCAGAGACCGAAGCCTTCCATGGAGCAAGCAGGGTGGCAAGCTGCTAGCAATGACGGGTCATATGACACCTGTCCATCTACAGGACAGAGCCAGCCCCTAGTGGACGAGAGGTGAACTGCATTGTTTGTCACTTCCACGCTAGTATCACTTTCGACAGGTGGAGTTCATCCCTTGGTTCTATCCACGTACAGTGAGTCACCTTTACTGACAAGTCTTTGCCCCTACTTTAAGCATACGCTGAATCATCAGACAAGCTAGCTAACATTTATTTTGTATTAAACTGAAATAATATCATGAATAAAATAACCTAAATAAGAAATAACACTGAAGGTTAGTTCACTGACATTTGTGATATAATAATTAACACTGGACACATGTTAAGGGTCTGAATGCAGGCACACAGTCTGTTTCCATCTGTATGTAACTTTTTGCTTGGCAAAGTCAAATTGCCATTAATTCAAAGAATACATTGACGTGAAATGCCCATCCAACCTACAGTGACATAAATACTGTATGAGCAGCAACTTAAAGACTGCTTGGTGGATCTGTTCAAATTTAACATGGCTGCTGAAACAACCATATGGTGCACAGTTAAGAGCATTTTAAAGGTTTATAAAATAGTGTCTCACGAACAGCTGGGGAGTATCTAAACTCAGAGCTGTGTTAAAGTAACACCAAACAGTTTCCAGCTTCTCTTTCCGACTGGTTTAAAGTGGAATTAGAGCTGCCATAGCCAACCCTGCCCAATGGGAATCGTACCAAACAAGCCACAAATTAAAAAGATCCACGCTGTTGGACAAAAATTGTTATTACTTTCAAGTCCAGCAGCAACAAAGCTAGGTCATCATCAGTCCACGATTTCATGACCTTCTTCAGCTCCCTCAAACAACCGTAGGGCACGCCAATGTTTACTCTGATTTTAGCTCTTTGCTTCACCTCTAAAGACAATACTCTCTGATTTCAGACTCCACCGTGATGCCAACAAAACGTTAACTTCTTTTTGTTTTTATTTACGGTCAGCAAACTGAATAAGCTAACTGTGCGATGCATGTTAGTCTGTTATTGGCAACTGGCACAGAAAATAACTAACAGCCGTAAAGCAGACGAAGAGTGCCCTCTAGGACACCTACCCGCTCCACAAAACTGTTAAGTGCAATATGTGGCCAGCAGAGGGCTGCAGAGTGGAGTCAAATATGAAACAGGTCAAGTTTCTAACACAGCAATCACTGAGATCAACGTTAAAGCTCTAGCTTAAAGTTTGAAAAACTACTTAGTGTTACTTTAAATTGGCAGGAATACACTTTGGTGTTGGCTGCTTCTTCTGTCCTGACGAACGAAATCACAATTCCATAGAACTTGGGGCTATACAGAAAGCCAATCAGCAACTGGTACTTATTTATACTTAGAAGCAAACTTCAACATGGCAAAAACAAACATCCCTTCAACAGAATTGTTCTCATCATGTGAAATTCCATGTAGAGGGAATCTGACTTGCAGCACTGAGCCCACGTTATGTGGTTTAGACAAAGGATACAAAGTCTGAGACGAAACTACAGAAACACACGACTCGCCTGTTTTCCTCTGACTCTTTTTTTCAAAATAGAAAAATAAAACCCTTCTCCTTGATTTGAGTTTGCAATTTAAAAAGGTTTTTTCAACCACTCAGATTTTTTAAAGAAACATACATTCACAAGAAGACAACAGAGGAAAAAAACAAGCAACTTGAAGTTTAAGTCTATGTGCAAAAACATTTTAGACCTCTATAAAAATATGTGCATATGGATAGAGCTATTTTTAAATCCCACCAAATACATTATTTTGTTTCCTTTTATTTACATTTGACAAAGAAAAAAAAAACAATAACACAGCTCGGTCCTGCTCCCCTCACGTGTGAAAACACACGCACTCATTCACACTTCAGCTCGGATCAATGTGATCGAGGAGCGAGGGGGGGGGAACAGAACCTCTGCGGAAAAACCTGAAGTTGCATATCCCACAAAACCACCCATCACGCTCGCATTTCACAAACCGCTTTGCTCCCCAAAAAATAAAGGGTCGGCGGCGATCAGCCAGACGCTGCTTCCTGATTGGCTCGCGTGAGTGAGGACAGTGTGTGAAAAAAACTTTGGCTACGGAGTAAAGTGGCTTCAGTCCCAGTGTGTGTTTGAGGAGGATCAGCCAGTAACACACGTGGGTTTTTCAAGCAAGAATAAAAAATAAAAAAACGACAAAAAAGAAAATTGATCCATTGTCATTCATTGGAGGAAGAGTCTGTTTCAGCTGGAAAACGTGATCAATATATATATATATATATATATATATATATATATATATATATATATATATATATTAGTATTTAGCAAAACAAAAACAAACAAAAATTTAAAAAAAGTTTGCACAGCCAACTTCTACATTTCTTTCCTTCTCCAAAAACCGCTACTGAGGTCCACCGAGATTCATTTCTGCAGCTTTTAAGTTTTCATGTTTTGCCTCAGACCGCGACACCAAGTGTTTACTGAGCGGTCCTCCGATTCTTCGCGCTGAATCCTGCGCTGCTTCCCAGTCGGCTGTCGAATGGAGAAGAGCAGGTGGCTGGGTCTGGGTCTGAGGGGCCTGCCGACATGCCGCTCACATACCTGGATTGTGGCTCTTCAAAGGTAAATCGAGGAAGAGGGATGCAATCTCCTGCAAGCGGGGTGTGCCTCGCAGCAGAACTTACAGGGTGTGTTTGTGAGAAGTGCATGACAGTAGGTAGGAGTGGTGCATGCGGCTGAATGAACACGTTTGGACTGATGGGGATGTTTGAGGGAGCGGATGCAAGAGGCAGAGTGCGCGTCAGAGAGGGTGTCGATGTGTGGGTCGGGGAATTCAACGGAAGTGGTATGTGGATTGGTGTTAGTGGTGTTGGCACCTGCGTACAGATGTCTACTGGCACGTCTTTCGACTGGGGCATCAGGTCGCTGGAAGGTGTCCTGCGTCTCAGCATCGTGTTGCAGTCGGCCAGTTTTGGAGGTGATGGGAGTCGGGGGTGTTCCCTTTCTGATGGTGGGTGGATGGAAATGCAGGGAGGGCTGGTCTTCTTCTTCCTGTGGCTGCTACCGACCGACTGCACCCTCACAGGAAACGTCTTTACGCTCTCTGGCGACAAGTGGTGGCTGAGGGTCTGAGGAAGGCAGACTTCGATGGAGTGGCGCCTCTGATCATCACAGTAACCTGCAGGTCCTGAAGGTGGCTTTTCCAGGAAGCCATGGTTGTCCACACGGAAGCCTTTCCCGACATCCTTCAGGCCTTCCTCGAGTAGACTGTGTGTGCTCATTGCTGAGGAAGGAGGTAGAGTGGAAGGAGGAGACGAGGAGCTGAAGGTCAAGCTGAGCGAGCATGGAAGGGTGTAGGGGGACAGGGAGTGACTGCGACCGGCCTTCCGTCTGCTCTCCGGCTCGCTCCCGTCCTCGTCTTTCCACCTGCAGCGAGCCCCGCTGGTGATGTTATACACCTCTTGGTCAGCCGGGTCAGTGAGGGAGATGGCAGATGGTACCCTGGGTCTACGAAGGCTCCCAGAACGGGAGGGGAAACGAGGGGAAGGAGGAGGAGGAGGGAGGAGGAATGATGGAGTAGATGGTGGAGACAGAGGAGAAGGGGGGGCAGGTGAGGGTAGAAAGGGGGAAGATGAAGGGGAGCAGGATGGGAAAGAGAGGGCTGAGGGAGAGGAGGAAGGAGGAGGGACAGGTGACAGGGACGGGGACGGGGACTGGGAGGGCAGCTGAGTAGATTTGAACCTCTCTTGTGTCTCAACACCCTGAGACTCCATTGAGTCCAGTTTAACTGCAACCTGCAACACAGAAGGATCAGCAGTGGTTTATTTTATCATTTGGCAGAGATGACCTCCCAAGACACGACTCAGCACTCATCGTTCTTACAAACAGAAACTTGTACATGGTTCCATTTTTGGTTCTTTTTAAAACACAGGAAAGGTTTTTCTTTACTTTGCTGGCGTACGTTTCGTTTGCCGACTGCAAAACATCCTCAGAGCTGACGCTGATGGTGGCGTCACTCCCTACTCCGTTTAGTCGCGGGCAGCAGAGGACGTTGTCGCCCTCTGCTGCCCGATCTCCCCTCTCCGACGATGCAGTCCCATGCGCGATCCAACGAGTAAACTCCATCGTCTCTGTCCATGGTCCCACATCCACGTCTTCTTATCTCGTTGGATCGCGCATGGGACTGCATCATCGGAGAGGGGAGATCGGGCAGCAGAGGGCGACAACGTCCTCTGCTGCCCGCGACTAAACGGAGTAGGGAGTGACGCCACCATCAGCGTCAGCTCTGAGGATGTTTTGCGGTCGGCAAACGAAACGTACGCCACCAAAGTAAAGAAAAACATTTCCTGTGTTTTAAAAATAACCAAAAATGGAATTAGAAACTAAACACAGTAAGAACACATCAAAGTTGTACATGGTTGGTCTAGTTCTCAGTTCAAAACTTTTACCTTTTCTAAACAGTTTGGGATTCCAGGAAGATTAGTCCAGTTTGGGTTTAACTCTTGTTAAAAATACAGACATCCAATAGTGTTTGTCTTAAAACTAATATCTAACCAGACAGAAACTCCGTAAGCATCTAGAACAGGGGTGTCTGGGCCAAAATGAAAAACTGGGACGAAGTTGTGGGCCACCAATATTTTTTACAGAGTAACGGCAAATGTGCACATTTTCCTTTATCTGCAGATATGAACGGTTGAACCTTTTCATTTGGAAACAAACTTATTTTTGCAGTAACACTGAATGTGGAATAACCAAATTACACAAGTCGATTTTAAAGGGACTTTACGGAATTTTGAATTTTTATGCTCGCGAATGCCCCCTCAGGCCAAAAGCGTAATGGCAGCTTCAATAGTAGGCTCGTGCACGAGGCGCGCATGCTGTACGTGCACACTCCTTAACAAAAATAACAGCTGAGACAGTCCCGTGTGCGTGTGTGGCCCGGAGGCCAGAGGACAGGAGAATGCGCAGCTAATTAATTAAATAAATTGATTCTGTACCTTTCTCTTCAGCACAGCCGACAAAGGTTTAAGATGAGTCAGTCCTCCTGTATGCTCTTGAAAAATTGTTCCAAAATGAAAGTTGAACCCACATCTTTTTTATCTGTGAATTCAATGCCGTTTGGCGAGTCTCAAATAAAGATTTGGGCATCTTACTGTAAAAAAATATATACCATTAATGTAAAAAAGAAACTTTAAATGAACTATGTTCACATCCAGAATCAAACCCGGGTCTTCTGCACCGGAGCCCGACGTCTTACTAGGTGAGCTAAAGCGCCAGTAATGTCTTTTGTATCTGTAACATTTATATCCTTGATAATAGCTGAAACAAACAGTTCAGAGCTTAAATGGCTATTTTGTTTCTAATTTGCAGGAAATATCTAGAAGAAAGTTCTACAGAAAGTAGCTAAGGGTCCTCAAATGTCACTAGGCGTTAGGAACAGCGACAAAGTGGCACTGCCTCTCTCGCTGCTGCTAAAGCTACGGATAGCAAATGCTATGGGCTATGCCTGAGCGTGAATGTGCATGAAGCAGCCTGCTCGACCCGAGCAGCTCTCTTTTTCTGTGATTTTACAGAAAAACAGGCAATCACAGTAAAAATGACAGGGCTCATTCTACAGGACCAGGGCATTGCAGGAGAATGTATGAAGAAGACATGTATTATTTCTATACATGTTTTGGCTGTCAAACTTCCATAATGCCCCTTTAAGTAAAGCACACATCAGTGATATTCGTTACTTATGCCTCAATTTTGTTTAAAAATTTTACTCCTTAAAATCTGCATATATTCAGCATTTCTTATTTTTTATCTTTTGAATCTTTTAAGTGTTTCTATTTTATGTTTTCTTGTTTATTCTTTATTGTTTACTCTCCTTTGGTGCTCCTGTAATGAATGTTATTGCTGCTGTGGCACCAAGCTTTCCCCACTGAGGGACAATAAAGGGATTTTCCACTTTATTTCTATTCTATTCTTCTATCTGTAATCTGTCCTGTTTTAAAGTAGGTTTAATTTATTTTCACAGGCCAACAACAAAAATAATAAATAGTCAATCTCTTAAATGAAAATTCAATATCTCACCTGTTAACTTTCATGCTTTGGAGCAGAAAAGGTTAATAAAACCAAAATAATTAAATCCCAGGAAATCAGAGAGGAGAAAACTCCCCTCTGATTTCCTGTGGTGCTCGCCTGTTCCAGCCAGACCTGCACCTGTTTGGTTGGGCGCTGAGCTGAGGGAGGAGTTCATCAGTGAGAAACAGTTGCTCACACAGGTTTGTGCTGCTGGACATGGAGAGCATCTGGACCACGCAGTTGTGTTGGGGAGGGGGATAAAAAGCTGCAGCAGCCACAGAGTCATACTGACTTGAGCGTGTCGCTAAACTGGAGTTAAATCATCTCGGTCTGGAAGTTGGTCGGTGCGCTTTCTGTGTCAGCAGCAAACAGATTACTGAGCTGTTAAAATCCATTTCTGGGTTTCAGAGTCAGCTAATAGCTGAGTAAACGTGGCGCTGAGTAAGAGGAGGGTTTTCAGTTTGTCCGAGGCAGAGGAGGTAACGCTGCAGACGCTGATGCTAGTAGCATGGATGCTAATGACTGTAAAGACATACTGGTTCTTCTCCTTGATGCATCAGCATGTTCCATCTTTGTTGAAACACCTTCCTTCTGCATAAATCTTTCTCTTCCTGGACATTTTGGGATTATGTGTGGATAGTTATTTTTAGTTGTTGCATTAATTAAACATGGAAGTGGACACACTGCGACCTAGTGGCGAGTCACTGCACTGGGAATACAACTGCCATGCATTATGGTAAATGCAGTTTATCGCCAATGTGCGCTTTGAAGCAGCATAGACTTATTTTAAGACACTTGAATCTCTCGTGGCCCACATAATATGATGTGGCGGGCCACATCTGGCCCACGGGCCTTGCGTCTGACACGTGATCTAGAAAGCCTTCAAAGGGAACACTGTTTTCTGCAGCTCAAATCAAGCTTCAGAACGAGGCATACAGGAAAATGGTTGGTACCGGACAAGGTGATCTGCTGGGATTTTTTTCCCCAAACCATCTATATGGCTGACAGAAAACTGACCAAAGATGAGAAAATATTCCATGAGCAGCAGTTGTGTGGATCAAAACGTCTAGTTGAGGTCAGAGGAGACTGGCCAGAATGATATTAGGTGATAGAAAGACAACAGTAACTCAGATAACCACTGGTTCCAACCAAAGTCCACAGAAAAGCATCTCTGAACCACAACATCTACTCTAGATGGACTCCAGCAGCAGAAGACCACACAAGGTGTCTCTCCTGTCAGCTAAGAATAGGACACTGAGGCTAAGTTCACACAGGATCACCAGAACTGGACCAGAGGAGACAGGAGAGCCTTTCCTGGTCTGATGATTCTGGATTTCATCTGAAACATTCAGATGGTCGGGTCAGAATCTGGTGCCACCAACATGAATGCATGAATCCATCCTGCTTTGTATCAAAGCTTCAGGCTGCTGCTGGTGGAGTAATGATGGTGGTGGACTGATGTTCTTGTCCTACTTTGAACCCCTCAGTACCACCTGAGCCTGGTTTAGACCCCACAGCCTACCTGAGTATTGTTGCTGACCATGTCCATCCCTTTATGACCACATGGACCCATCTTCTGATGCTACTTCCAGCAGGATAAAGCACCATGTCATAAAGCTCAGATCATCTCTAACTAGTTTCTAATACATGATCATCCACAGTCACCAGATCTCAGTCCAGTCCAGAACCTTTGGGATGCGGTGGAACAGGAGACCAGAACGTCTGGGAAAGGTGTCCAAAACATTGTTGAATCAACGACGGGTTGATAAAAGGTGGTTTCAAAGCCAAAAGTACTAGCAAGCCAGTACTAGCAAGGTGAACCTAATAAAGCGGGTGGTAAATATGTGTCTTACAGGCAGCATGCGTTGCTTTCATCTGTGCAGCTCTGCTATCACTACAGATGTAAGTACATAGCAATACGTTGAAATGTCACAATATTTTGTTTTAATATTATAAAGGGCAGAAGTTGGTACTTGACCTTGGGGGGCATGGTGATTGAAGACCAGCTGGTGCTTGTTCGGCATGATGAGGCCGGAAGTGATAAAGGGTGGCAGATTTGCTGGAAGAGGTGTGTGTGTGTGTGTGTGTGTGTGTGTGTGTGTGTGTGTGTGTGTGTGTGTGTGTGTGTGTGTGTGTGTGTGTGTGTGTGTGGTCGACCTGTCATTGTGGCACCCTGTTTTGGGGGGTGGGATCGCTCGCAGTTAGGTAGGGCTGCCGGTGATGAGCACAGCTGAGTAGGGGGTAGTGTTCCGGCGCTAGGAGGGGAGGCTAATTGCCTCCTTTAGGTAGTTAGGGCGGGAGTAGCTGGGTGTCGAGGCCACACGGGCATCTGCCGCAGAGAGAGCGGGCAGACGGATGCAAGTCGCAGGATCTACCCGCCGTCCTCGAAAGTTCATCCCCGGGACATTGGATGGCGTTGGACGCTCAGACCCCAGGGAGGGGGTCGCACCAACTGGGCCAGTTAAGTACCTGACTGTCTTATGGCTGATCGGCTGGTTTTATCTGAATAGGAAAGGGAAGGGTGGATGGGCGAGAGAGCGCCAGTAGAGGCGGGAGCTGGGTTTTGTAGGGAATTATGGAATTGTGCTAATAAAAATGTATTTGTGGTAACCGGTGCCTGCTCCTGTTATTGTAAAGTTCTGTTTGGAGGGCAAGAGATTCTGCCTGTGCAGCCCACGCAACTTTTCATTACAATACAATACTGAATCGATATTTCAAAGCAGTGAATCAATTTTTTGTTATTGAGAAATCACAAAGTTGCTGTATTTCGTTTGGGACAGCAGTAACTCAGGAGGTAGAGCGGGTGGTCCTGTAACTGGAAGGTTGCAGGTTCGATCCTGGCTCTGGCCAGGATCAGGCAAGACGCTTGACCCTTAACCCTACCTTCTGGTGGTGGTCAGAGGGACCAATGGCGCCAGTGTTTGACAGGCCTCACCTCTGTCAGTGCGCCCCAGGGCCGCTGTGGCTACATCGTAGGTCGTCACCACCAGTGTGTGAATGTCTTTGTGAATGGGTGAATGACTGATTGTGTTGTGAAGCGCCTTGTAGACCCCTAAGAAGGCTTTATACAGATACAGGCCATTTACCATTTTGTAAGATACAATTCAAACTCTGACTGCTAGGTGGCAGCACCTTCATTCTGATGGAACAAAATGTTGTGGTAACATTGGATACGTCTTGCCTGACTTTTCCAATTGACTTCGGTCTTTAAAATTGCTAATATCATCTGTCATTTAGTTTCACAAACATATCATAACAACTTGCTTGTATTGAGATATATGTCGTATTGGCAGATTTTTGCTAATACACATCTGTTTAACTTCTCTGTAACAACGGCTATGAAACAATGCCAAACCATGAAAACAGGAGGGGCGGACACTTGGATATGTTGCTTATAACAGTCATAACATGTATCTAAGTTCATGTTTGTGAGCTTCAGTTGGACATGAGCCTTCTCACCTGCCGGTGCAGAGCCCGCGGTGAGAGTCCAGGTGTTGGTGGGGCAATGCGAGGAAGAGTGAGGGTTGGTGTTGACTGAGGATGAAGAGGAGAAATGTCTGGAACCTGCAGCAGAGTGCGGCTCTCGCAGGGCTGGGACTGGATCGACATCACTGAGACTGTAGGACATATGGTTTCAAGAGTTCATCACAATAGTTCAAATCACACGTGTGCCATCCTACACACATGCATTTTAAACATGCATAATTATACCTACACCCTAACCCAAAACCTTTTAATAACACTTTATTCTGATAGAACATTTGGAATTAAATGGGAAAACAATTCATGACAAACTGTAAGATAAATATTCCAATTATTTTTCATAGGACAGAGTGTTGAGTCTGTCAAAATAAAGTGTTATTCTGAATGAGACTTGTTAGCACTTGATGCTAATCAGAGCAGGAATGATGACGCAGTTAAAGGCATTGCATTTACAAAGACATATTCAGGACATTGTAAATAAAAAACTGAGCTGGAGTAAGGGGTACAGAGGGTCATTTCATACGCCGACTGCATATTTTTGTTTCATTCCAGATATGTGCACAGAAAACCTTTTACACATACGAGCCTTTGAATGTCCAAAACACAGCTACTGGTCAATCACTGGCCTATGACCTAGGCTGCACTGGTAACCTGTGTACCAGTATGTATGTAAGTATGGTGTTTGTTAGGACCAAAGTGTGACTTCGACAGAAGTCCAGCAACAAAACACCACACAGGTTCTGGTCAGGTGGACCTCTTCTCTCAATCTTAGCCCTACAGGTCCTGTTGTCAATACCAACATAAACACTGAAGTACCTCAGAAAGACAATCCAGTCCCAGGTTGAAGCACCATCTAGCACTTGTCCCACTACCTCCAAAGGGTTTGGGTACCCTGAGCTGTTATTTGGTGCATTAGCACAAACAACTGTCAGAACCTGGTTCCTCACTCAAAGGCAAAGGGGCGTTGCCCCTTCGTCCCCTAGGGTAAACACCAACATACAGGCAGAGAATCTGAATCAGCTTCATTGTTGCAGAACCAGCATCCTGGACAAGGAAATCTGACTTCACTTCAAAACCCAACCACCAGGTTCAGGTAAGCTATGAGAGCAACCGCTGCACGGCATTTCCAGAGAGTCTGGGGGTTAACAAGAAGCCCACTCCAACCCTCTTTCTTTCACCCAGAGTAACTCCAGCAAAGCAGAGTCCAAATCATCTAAAAATTTTGGTTCCAGAGCCAATGATATGTGTTGATGTTAGTCCAACTGTATCTAAATGGTCCGCCACCCAATCCACGATGCACAAGACCGTTCATGTTCCTCCAGCAGGTGGTGGGTCCACAGGTGGATGGACCTACAAAACCAGTTCTAGCTAGGCCCCATGGGTGAAAGCAAACCCAACAGGTACTCTCACATGGGTCCCCCAGGGCAGGACCCCTGTAGCTCTCCAAGCAGGTACTCCAGTTTTCTCTTTTTACATTCATTATGTCTTTTTTGTGTCTAGCCTTCCACCGAGGACCAGTTTACAGTAAAAGACCTGACCAGCTGCAGGACTTTGGGGATTATAAAATTATTTGAGTTTATGTTAATTGTTTGTTTTCCTTCTTTTATCCGACTCTGGGTCGCAGGATAGCATCTCAAGTAGTGCATCCCAGACGGCCTTCTCCCCAGCCACGTCCGCCAGCTCCTCCAGCAGAACCCAAAGACATTACTGGGCCAGATTTCTCCAACATGTCCTAGGTCGACCAGGGGGGCTCTTGCTGCCAGGACATGCCCGCAACACCATCCCAGGAAAGCATCCAGGCAACTTCCTGACTAGATGCCCGGATAACCTCAGCTGGCTCCTATCGATGCGGAGGCACAGCGGCTGTACTCAGAATCCCTCCCAAAAGCCTGAGCTCCTCACCCTATTTCTACGGCTGAGCCCAGCCACCCTCCAGAGGAAACTCATTTTGGCCGCTTGTATCCGCGATCTTGTTCTTTCGGTCACTACCCAAAGCTCGTGACCATAGGTGAGGGTTGGGATGTAGATCGACGGTAACTCGAGAGCTTTGCCTTCTGGCTCTGCTCCCTCTTCACCACGGCAGATCGGTTCAGTCTGCATCACTGTAGATGCTGCACCAATCCGCCTGATGATCTCTCGCTCCCTTCTTCCCTCCCTCGTGAACAAGACCCCAAGATACTTAAACTCCTCCACTCGAGGCAGGACCTCTCTCCCAATCCTGAGGTGGCAAGCCACCCTTTTCCTGTCAAGAACCATGGCCTCGGATTTGGAGTTGCTGTTAATAATACTGTTAATTTTCTCCTGATCTTACCCCTCCTCCAGCTCTGTCTACATTTTCTATCCACAATGGGCCTAATATGTTATTGTACACATTAGATTCTGGTTAGTAGTACGAATTTCATTCAGTAATGTCAAGCACACAAACCTCGTTTGATGAATTGTATTTACTATGTAACCAGAGTCTGAGGCATTCTGTACCAACAGGTCCAATAAACCTGTGAGTTCAGATGTCTGTCAGAGTTGCTTCGAGTTTGAACTGCTTTAAGCCCAAGCTGTAAAGTCACTTTAGGTTGAAAAGCAAGAAACTCACAGCTCCTGTAATTGGCACATTTCTTATTTAGTGACTTTGCAGCTTGTCTATGAAATTAATTATCCATCATTTCCCAGATATAGGGACCCTAAGTCTCCTCCCCTTCAGGTCGGCTCATGGGTCCCCGGAACAAAGAAAAGATGAATGTATTTAAATGGGCCAATAAAAGTTATTTTCTAATCCGCTTTGCCTCACGCCCTGAATCACACATATGTTGCACTTTTATTTAAATGAAAAGTAATTATGTGTGTTTTGACTATGTATGTCACGTAATTTGAATCACCGCAGAATCCCTTCTTGCCCAGCTTAGCTGCTACTTTCCACAGGGCAACGGTGGCACAGGAGTTAAGTACTCGCCCCGTTATCGGAATGTTGCAGGTTCGAGCCCCGCTCAGTCTGATGCTGTCGTTGTGTTCTTGGGCAAGACACTTAACCCACCTTCCCTGCTGGTGATGGTCAGAGGGACCACCGGTGGTCAGAGGGACTGGTGGCGCCAGTGCTCGGCAGCCTCGCCTCTGTCAGTGTGCCACTTTTATTTTTCAACGATGACTTTGAGAGAAGGGGCTCCCGGATGCCCCTCTGGAACAGAGCCAGCTGGGTATATCATGGACTCCTGGAAACAGTGGAACCTGATCTGCCTCTTGCAACTGTCTGTAGAGGATTCTGAAGATGTTTGGATATTCGTCGTTTTGGTGTCGGGATTCCTGCTGTTTTGGCTTACCGTAAAATTAACGAGCTTTCGAGGAATATTGGCTGAATCCCAGAGCTCAGGGATGGAATGCATCATGCTGTGAACGCACAAACTCATACAATTGTCGAGATGAGTCGTAAGCGTGGAACTTTGGCTGAGATTCAGGCTCTGGCACAAAAGGTGGATTCCAGGGACAGAGTGGACGGATCAGCACTGATTGGGATTGATTAATTACACCATTATTGGATCTAGAGGGGTTGAGGACCAAACAGAACACTAAGGCAGAGAGGAAATTATCTCTGCCTGTCCCCAAAACAATTTTTATCTGAATCTGGTGCCCTTGGAGCCTGTGAGGCTGAAGTGTAAACTCCCCCCTCAGAAGAACTGTGGAATGCTGCCGTCGCTATGGAAACTCTTTCTCCCTATCCCAGCCTGGGCGGGACTGTGACCGGTGAAGGCCGTGGAACCGTATTTGGGAGTCACTGTACCCTCTCACCCATTATCTCCCTCCCCTGTTCAAACGAAGGTGATGAGCGCTGCTCCATGCGGCTGCGCACTCTGAAGTGAGGACAGTCCCCAACCCTACCTCCCCACCTAGTGGACATTTATGTTGTGTAATGTCTGAAGTCTGTGTGCATTTCTGTCTGAGGTGTTTTTTGCATGGCAAAGCTACCCTCTCTGTGGAAGGTAACTCTGAAGTGCCTTTTTTTTTCCTCCACCTGACTCCATCCTCATATAAACCCTCTTGATCTATTACGCTAGCACGACTCGGGTTGTGAATGATCACAGTCGCCAATTCTTGTCATGTGTCTATGTATGTATGTCTGATCTAAGAATTGTGTGTACTGAAACTCTAATTTCCCTCTGGGATTAATAAAGTATTTTTGAATTGAATTGAATTGAATCGTAGCTCATCCCCACCAGTGTGTGAATGTGTGTGTGAATGGGTGAATGACTGATTGTGTTGTAAAGTGCCTTGGGGGGTTCCAGGACTCTAGAAGGTGCTATATCAAATACAGGCCATTTACCATTTACCACATGACCAGATTTGTAGTGGTTTTCTCCACGTTTAATGCTCCTATCATCCTAAAAGAAGGATTCGGAGCTCGTTGAACTCATTTCCATGTCTGATTCAATGACGTCAATTTGGTGAGATGAACATTTGTAGTCCGTTACGTCTTTTCACATAAAACCTAAAATTACATTTTCCACTGTTTGAAAATGGCGCTTCCTTGCTATCAAAATATGTCTTTTTAAATTCACCATATGTGAAATCCATGGCTCATATCAAATGGGATCAGAAAATAACTTTTATCCTCTCACAGACTCCATTCTTTTTATTTGGGGGGCAGTGGGGGACCATGGACCAGAAGCAGATGGACGTGACTTGGGCTTCCTATTTCACAGCTGAGCAGATGAGCCTGCAGATTGCAGAGATTCATGTGGATCAGCTCATCGGCTGCAGTCAGTACCTTTGGACAGAGCTTGGTCTGTCCACAGCAGGGCCACAACATGCCTTTAGACTCTGACTATGGATAAAACAGCTTCTGTTAATATTCTCCACATGTTTCTTTTGTCTTCAATTTTAATTTTATACAGAAAAATGAGAAAAGAAGGAAAACATTTTTTTACTGACATTCTTTATGAATTAACAAAGTAGACCAAATTATTTTCCATTTCCATACAAAGTGTTCTCAGACTCAAGAAGGTGTGAGATCTTCACGTTTTTAACTGCAGATATTTCCATGTTTGTTGCCAAAATGACAACTGGATACAGGAACACAATACAGCAAAACAAGTAAGAAAAAAACTGCCCCCTAGTGGCTAGCTACTGTATGTTTCAGGCCCCGCCCCTTACGTGTATATAAACAGGATATGTTCCTCACTGGATGAAATAAACATAGATGTTAAATTCTGTTGATTTACAGTTCCAGCCTGGATTCAGTTTGTTCATACACACACACACACACACACACACACACACACACACACACACTTGGTTGTAATGAATAACTTCAAGACCAAGTTCACTAATGTTTTCATTAAGTTTGCTGTGGTCTCAAGTATAAAGCATAAATGAATGCTTTGTGACTCGATCTCTGCGGGGATTTTTTTTTTTGATGCTCTTGTTTCAGGAACTAGCAGCTAGTCAGAGGGGTGGGGCTAAAAATAGCAGGATTTGGAGTCTTACTCATTTTTATTCCTGATATTCAAACATCTCAGCACCGATTGGCTCACAGCAATGCACCTCCACCCCTGACTCAATTTGCCCTGAAATGTTGATGTTTTATCTCCACGAATAACACAAGCCTGGAGGAGTTGTGCTTTACTGTGGAGTTGCTAACGCTAACGGTGCTCTGCTCTCTCCTGGACCCTAAATCAACAACAGCCTTCCAAAGTAGTGAGCCAAAGTTGGTGAGTCATGAATGCTAATTTGCAGTATCATGCTAAAGTTGAGCATTTCTAATCTATTGTCTTTCACAGCTATTGCATGAAATAGGGGTAGAAAACTATTTTCACATTCAACCTGCATGAGAGACCGATTGTATTTTAAAAATAACAAGAAAATAATGGTTTCTCAGTGAACTTACGGAACCTGCAGCAGAGTGCAGCATTTTTACTTTATGCTACTACCATAAAGTAAAAATATTACTTTATGGTAGTAGCCTGGAACTTCAGTTTCACACACATCCTGATTATTGATTCATAATAAGGACCTGCAGATATTTCTATTATGAAGCATCATAATCATCAGTAATATTGGTTCTGAATTCTAGTAGGACATTTATTTACTATGTAACTCACAGTATCTAATTACATTTACAACCTGAGAAGAGGGATGATTTCTTTGCTCACCAGAAAAAATAATTTGCATTCTACAAGACTTCATCCCTAAAAAAGAATCTATCAACCCAGATTCAGGTGGAATGCACCATCCTGGAAAAACCACTCAAGCAACACACAGTTTAGGGGGAAATAATTAAAATACAAGGGTTCACAGTGATTGGATTATGATTTTCCATTACTGTACATTTCAGGTCATTTAAATTATTAATTTTTTGAAGAACATTGAATTTATTGTTTGCCATTATTATGTAAGGAGCACCTCAAGCAACATGATGGCAAAAGACAAATAGAGAAATATCTCCTACAGACCTGTTTTTAAGGAACGTATCCTGTAAATATCCCATTTCTGGTTCATCTAGTGTATAATTGCAGCCCCTCATTTTTCTGCCTGTCTTTATTTTAAAACCTGAGTTTGAATCAATAAAATTTAAGATAAAATGAGCCAAGCTATTAATGCATCAAACTCACAGAATAAAACACTGCATTTGCACAATTGCACCTAAGGTGCAATTTATTAGACAAAATGTTCTCTTTGTGTTTAGATTCTTGCAGAAGAAAATAAATAATATGTGAATCTTAGGAACCGGTATTGTGATTGGTGTGTCTGAAAAACATCGTCCTGAAAGGAAGGTTGCTGATTGGAGTTACCTGAATGATGATGCTGAGAGGTGGGCTCTACCTCCTTCAGAGGGTAGGGGGCGCTGGCGGGCCGTGGTGGCTGAAACATGTAACTGTCGTTTGGCAGGGAGTGCATCCTAGACACGCACATCTTCAGGTCCTGGTCGTTGTGCTGCCCGTCTTCCTCCTGCAGAGGGAGACAGACACCATTAAGCCCATATAATGTGACATACACAAGCTGCAGGATCATTGTTCTCAAATGTCTGAGAAACATTATAGTGCTGTGGGAAAACTATTTGTTCCATTACATCTTTCCTTTGCTTATGCATTTTTGTCACATTTTTGTCTGGAAAGGAACTCTTCCTTTTTCACACTCACTTGCTCAGGTGAATTTGGGCACGGTCCAATGTAAGTCCCTCCCATCGAGCTATTGTTGGAAGTTGTGCTTCGTCTGCGTTGCCTCTCTTCTTCCATTTCCAAGGCAATCTCTGCATCCATCTCTGCATCCTCCTTGGCCTCCTGTGAAATCAGGTCAATGTCTATCTTTAACAGACTGCAAACTAAAACATCTAATGAAAGCCGCGTGGGAATCCGACACAGTACAGAGAGTGTTTGATCAAAAATGCCATGTCTGCATTTTTCTTCATACCTTGTTGCTCTCCTCCAGATGTTTCATTAAAACTGCTACCACAACATTGACCAGGACGAACTGGGCCATGAGCACAAACGTGACAAAATAAATGGGAGATATCCAAGGCAAGTACGAGAAACAGTGGGTGTCCTTTGGGTGGCACTCCCGTAAGGTGTCCTTCAGAAACACAGAACAGGATCGAGAGAGAAAAAGGTTCAAAAGGACAAAAAAGTGACAACATTGATCTACAACAGGGTTAGTCAAATGAAATGGTCCGAGGGCCACTCAACAGAACGACCTGGGGGTGGTGGGGTGCGGGGGGGGAGCTAATCCTACGCTAGAGGTGTGAATCTTCACTTGTCTCCTGATTCAATTACGATTATTGGGTCAACAATTCGAATCCATATCCCTACACATCACGATTATTTCATATGGATTTGTTTTCATCGATAAATAGAAGACGTCAGATAATTAATTTTTTTTCAATTAAAAATGTGTCTGACACAACCTGCCATCCCCCAAAGCACTCCATTCACAACAGTCCTTATAAAACATAAATCGTTTAAGAAGATTTAACAAAGTAAGAAAATCTGTTTCCTCATTCAACCGTCACACCTCAGGCTGAGAAAAACGCTTTGCAGATGCTCACAAAATCTGAAAAAATACTGAAAACCTTTAAGACACGTCCAATTCTTGCCTTTAGTTTAAGTTATAAAACACATAATGGGTTCATATATTAGCGTTTAATGTCTTTGAGCAGCATTAGAGTCAGATATTTATACAACAGTTCAAGGGTGTCAGAAAGAACACCAAATGAAATGATTGGCTAAGGTTTTTTATTTTATTTGAACCCAGTGGTCTCATTTCTGAAATGTCGGGAGAATGAATTAAGTTCTGTTTGATGCAGAAAATAAAACATAAAACAAATTCTACAGTTCCAATAATATTTAAGATGTGTGTTACTGATACCAGCAGGAGGCTGTGGGCTGGATTAGAATTAAATGACTCAGCTGATGAGTCTCCTTTACTAACCAGCTGTCCTGTTCTCACCATGTAAAGCTTGGTTTATGCTTGACGCGTCCGCGAGGTCCGTGCGGCAAAATTGCGTCATTTTAACAACCACGCCCCTCCACCGCGCCTCCGCATGGCCCAAACTTTCCGCACCGCGCACCTAGGAAATTTTCTAACCACACAGACGGTCGGATGCGGAAAAACATGGCGGACTAGCAAGAACTAGTATGGCAGAGGTTCGTAAATACAGACATTTGTATGATTCAGCTCTCAAAGATCACCGTGATCAACATGTTGTTAATAATTCTTGGAGAGAAATAGCTCGCACTGTCGGAAAGACGAGGACGCTGCTAAAAATGCTGGAATGCCATGTTGTAAACAACAGTAATTTCTACTTCTACTATGGTGTAGTGTTAGATGCATGCCGTAGAGCTCCATGCTGCCCCCTACAGTTTGGGAGAATATTGGCTCACCGCAGAGACAAGCCGCATGAACCATAAATGCTGCAAGTTGTGAAGCGTGTTCCATCTGCGAGCCGCATCACCAAGCGGAAAGTGAATGCGTCAAGCATAAACTAAGCTTAAAGGTTGGTTTATGCTTGACGCGTCCGCGAGGTCCGCACAGCTCCGCGCGGCGAAATTGCGTCATTTTAACAACCACGCCCCTCCACCGCGCCTCTGCACGGCCCAAAATTTCCGCACCACGCACCTAGGAAATTTTCTAACCACGCGGACGATCGGACGTGGAAACACATGGCGGACTGGCAAGAACTAGTATGGCAGAGGTTCGTAAATACAGACATTTGTATGATTCAGCTCTCAAAGATCACCGTGATCAACATGTTGTTAATAATTTTTGGAGAGAAATAGCTCGCACTGTCGGAAAAGACGAGGACACTGTTAAAAATGCTGGAAAGCCATGTTGTAAACAACATTAATTTCTACTTCTACTATGGTGTAGTGTTAGATGCATGCCGTAGAGCTCCATGCTGCCCCCTACAGTTTGGGAGAATATTGGCTCACCGCAGAGACAAGCCGCATGAACCATAAACGCTGCAAGTTGTGAAGCGCGTTCCATCCGCGAGCCCCATCACCAAGCGGAAAGTGAATGTGTCAAGCATAAACCAAGCTTAACCCTCATGTCCTTGCTGTCTCTGGAGGAGCAGGTAGAAAACAAGATCTCCTGTAACTTCAATTGAACCAAAGCTTCCTCCCAGTTTCTCTTTAAGCTGAATTTAACATCAGTTTATCATCATGAAGCAAAAGAATAAAGTGGAACAAAAACTTCTATTTTCTATTTCTCTCTCCTTTTAACTTCTCCGTGTCCCTAATTAAAAGAGACAGATGATTACGCACAGCTGGTATGTGTTTTTGTCCTAGTATTTAGTGTCTGTTAGTGTGTGTTTTCTGTGTTTCTCTGAGGGGAGTCCTGCTTAAAACCTCTAGAGTTTGCAGGGGAGTCTCTGATTAGAGTTTAATGTTCGGTCTCAGTGGTGATAGATAGATAGATAGATAGATAGATAATAGATAGATAGATAGATAGATAATAGATAGATAGATAGATAGATAGATAGATAGATAGATAGATAGATAGATAGATAGATAGATAGATAGATAGATAGATAGATAGATAGATATTTTTATTTGGTCAACAACAATTCATCAATTTTACATAAAAGTAATCAAGCAACCGAAAAAAGTAATAGGTTGAAGCCTAGTGGCTTATAATTAGCCTATCCTTAACTCCCACAGAGATAATCAAATCCTTAACCAGGGCTGATAGATAAGATGCATAACATTTAAAGAAAAAGCAATGATAAATCAAGAAACACAAGGTTAGACATCAAACTAAGTTTCAATAACTTTGGAAGATGCAAATTTTTAAAATTTTCTTGAAAAATGACAATGAATAACACATCTTCAGTTCATCATTAAGTCCATTCCATAACTTCACTCCCAAAGCCGACACACATCTATACTTAGCATAATTCTCACTTTAGGTTTTTCAAACATACAAGACCTCTCAAATCCTATTTTCCATCTCTTAATTGAAACATACTTAAAATATAAATTGGAACATTCTTTTTCACCACTCTATACATCATTTCTAAAGTTTTACGATATATAATGTCCTTAAATGAGACATTAAGTGTTTGTCAATATGTGTACCTTTATGCTGTAGCTGAATCAGCTTCTTGTATTTTCTCTTTCTTTGATAGTATCTGCCCGGCGTCAGGAGCATTTTTGTTAAATTAACCCTTTATTTTTTTTTAATATTGATTTTTGCCTGTGTCACTTGTCCTCATGACACTCCAGGTCTCCTAGACGCCTGGCTCGTAACAATGATGAATTATGTTATTCTCACTAAGAATTTAATACTTTATACTTTCACCATCCTGAGCAAAATAAACACGAAGAGATGTGGTTGCTCTGCACTAAGCTACTTTATATCTCCATAATTGGTTTTAGAGGGCATTTGATCTCTCGGTGGTTTGACATAATCAACACATCGTTTATGGGATTCTCTCAGTGTGTGTGTTTGTGTGTGTGTGTGTGTGTGTGTGTGTGTGTGTGTGTGTGTGTGTGTGTGTGTGTGTGTGTGTGTGTGTGTGTGTGTGTGTGTGTGTGTGTGTGTGTGTGTGTGCGTGTGTGTGTGTGTGTTTGTGTGTGTGTGTGGTCATACTTTCATGATCCCATTCCAGTTGTCTCCAGTGGACACCCGAAACAGCGTGAGGAAAGCCATTCCAAAGTTCTCAAACGTTGCGTGACGACTCAGACCCTCACATGGATTACTGTCAGTGCACTCTAATCAACAGGAACAATGTAGTAAGACATTAGTTACACAGCTGGGTTTGAGGGGGGAAAATAAAAAAATGAACATGAACAATATTTTATGACAGGGAATGGCTGCAGATGTCAATTAAAAAAAGTGTATTTTTGGCCGCTGTCGTCCAGCGTGTGGACCCTGCAAAGACTGTCACAAGAATGAATGAGAATAGTCTTTATTCAGGTGTGTATTAAGAACAAGATAACCTCCGCATTGCATGCAATCGGTCTCCAATGATTTTGACCATGAACACAACTAAAATAAGAAAGTTTGAATGGCTCAACATGAGTTCCTGAGTTTAAAGAGTTAATTGGCAACAGTATTATTGGTGTATCCATGACTTCTGGCCCTGATCTACCAGCACTGTTTTGGCCACTGCAAAATTGTTGGTCTCATTGAGGTAGTGGCCTGGAGCATGGTGCCATTGTGGACATACGTGAAAGGATCATTGTAGGAATGTGCTACTGATATATGGAGGTCTGGGTGAGCATCTCAGATGGAAAGGTGGGAAAATATTTTTGGCAAGTACTAAGACAGTAGAAGCTTTTTGCATTAACATGAAAGGTAGTAAGTCAGGCTTGTTTGCAGTGAGAGTTGGACTCCGCCAAGGCTGCCCTTTGTCACTGATTCTGTTCATAACCTTTATGGGCAGGATTTTTAGGTGCAGCCAATGTGAGGGGATCTGTTTTGCTGGCCTAAGGACTGAGTCTCTGCTTTTTGCAGATGATGTGGTCTTGTTGGCTTCATCAGAACGTGATCTCCGGCTCTCATTGGAGCGTTTCACAGCGGAGTGTGAAGCAGCTGGGATGAGAATCAGCTTCTCTAAATCCGAGACCATGGTCGTGAGTCGTAAAAGGGTAGAATGCCTTCTCCGGGTCAGGCATGAGGTCCTGCCCCAAGTGGAGGAGTGTAAGTATCTCGGGGTCTTGCTCATGAGTGAGTAAAAGCTGGAGCGTAAGATCGATAGGCAAATTGGTGCTGCATCTGCATTGATGCGGGCATTGTACTGGTCTGTCGTGGTGAAGACAGAGCTAAACCAGAAGGCAAAGCTCTCGATTTACCGATCGATCTACGTTCCTACCTTCACCTTCACAAGCTTTGGGTAGTGGCCGAAAGAACGAGATTTCGGATACAAGCGGCCAAAATGAGTTTTCTCCGAAGAGTGGCTGGGCCCTCCCTTAGAGATAGGGTGAGAAGCTTGGTCATCTGGGAGGGGCTCGGAGTAGACCCGCTGCTCCTCCATGTCGAGAGGAACCAGTTGAGGTGGCTCGGGCATCTGATCAGGATGCCTCCTGGACACCTCCCTAGTGAGATTTTCCAGGTACGTCCAACCGGGAGGAGGCCTAAAGGAAGACCCAGGACACGTTGGAGGAATTAATGGGCCATTCCCATCTGTACCGGGTCGGCCCGGGCCGGGTAGCGTAGGTTGTTTACATATCTGGGTGGCCTGGTATTTTTCCGGGCCAACCAAGGCTCATTCTCAGCCCTCTTCTCAAGGGGGTCTGCTTCAGGCCGACCAGGGCCAACACACCCACTGCTGACAGCAAATTCACACCTTCCATTAGAGTAAGCCTCTGTTTGGTGGGTAGAATCAGCCCACATGGGCTTAAGACAAGGATGTGTCAACCGGGCAAGGCTGGGGCCGACTGGGGCTACCCGGCCCGGGCCGACCCGGTACAGATGGGAATGGCCCATAAGTCTCACAGCTGGTCAGAGAATGCCTTAAGCTTGGTTTATGCTTGACGCGTCCGCGAGGTTCGCACAACAAAATTGCGTCATTTTAACCACCACGCCCCTCCACGGCGCCTCTGCATGGCCCAAAATTTCCGCACCGCGCACCTAGGAAGTTTTCTAACCACGTGGACGGTCGGACGTGGAAAAACATGGTGGACTGGGAAGAACTAGTATGGCAGAGTTCGTAAATACAGACATTTGTATGATTCAGCTCTCAGAGATCACCGTGATCAACATGTTGTTAATAATTCTTGGAGAGAAATAGCTCGCACTGTCGGAAAACACGAGGACGCTGTTAAAAATGCTGGAATGCCATGTTGTAAACAACAGTAATTTTTACTTCTACTATGGTGTAGTGTTAGATGCATGCCGTAGAGCTCCATGCTGCCCCCTACAGTTTGGGAGAATATTGGCTCACCGCAGAGACAAGCCGCATGAACCATAAACGCTGCGAGTTGTGAAGCGCGTTCCATCCGCGAGCCGCATCACCAAGCGGAAAGTGAATGCGTCAAGCATAAACCAAGCTTAAGGATTCCCCTGGAGGAGCTGGTCCAAGTGGCTGGGGAGAGGGAAGTCTGGGTCTTCCCGCTTAGGCTACTGCCCCCGGATAAGTAGCTGCAAATGGATGGATGGATGAAAGGTAGTTAAAAAAGTTACGGAGATCCAGTCACATTTTAATAAGTCACGGTTCTTAAAGCTACAATGTCAAATCTGCAAAACCAGCTAGATTAAAACATTGTTTTTCATACCTCTTAAAATTCCAGCATAGTATAACTATAAATATAGTGTGGACATAAAAATAAAACAAAAATATAGTGGTTCTCTCGCATCTGCCTAAAAACCTCATCAATAACACGGATCAGACTGAAGACAACCATCTGACCGTCAGTCTCACCAAACTGCAGCACTTCCGCATGTACTTGGGTCTTCCACTCATCACATGCTTGCACATTTTGCAACAAAACACCACAGGTGCAAGGTTCTCTGCTCAATAATATCAGATATGCAGAAACAGCCAGCTGCTACCAACTACCAGAGTCCCAAAAAGAAAAACACCATTTGAAGTCACAGAGAACAAGACATTTGGATCTAGAAAACAGTGACTGGTGTTTAACACTATCTAGTTTCCTCTGGCAATGCGGGATCCAGTTTGCGGCGGACGTAGCCGAGAGGATGATGGCCAACTGGAAGGGTGAGCGTTCCATGACTGCGTTTCTGTTTTAAGCTAGCTTGTTTTGCAGATTTGATTTTGTAGCGTTACTGGAGAGTAAAGGGGCTTTTAAGGACAAACAAATGGATGAATTTCTCAGTAGAAAAGATATTTCATTCTTCTCTCCGAAATTGCTAAGGTGAGTTGTTTTGATTTTACAAACTGGTTCTGGTACATTGATCTATTTGAACTAAAATGTGAGTGTAAAGATTTTATAGACAGTTCAGTTAAAGGGACTTTACGGAGTTTTGAATTTTTATGCTCACGATTGCCCCCTCAGGCCAAAAGCGTAACGGCAGCTTCAATAGTAGGCTCGTGCACGAGGTGTGTATGCTGTACGTGCACACTCCTTAACGAAAATAACAGCTGAGACAGTCCCTTGTGTGTGTGTGTGTGTGTGTGTGTGTGTGTGTGTGTGTGTGTGTGTGTGTGTGTGTGTGTGTGTGTGTGTGTGTGTGTGTGTGTGTGTGTCTGTGTGTGTCTGTGTGTGTCTGTGTGTGTGGCCCGGAGGACAGAGGACAGGAGAACGTGCAGCTAATTAATTAAATAATTTGGTTCTGTACCTTTCTCTTCAGCACAGCCGACAAAGGTTTGTTATGGGTCAGTCCTCCTGCATGCTCAGATCATTCCCTTCCCTTGCTTGAAAAATTGTTCCAAAATGAAAGTTGAACCCACATCTTTTTTATCTGTGAATTCAATGCCGTTCGGCGAGTCTCAAATAAAAATTTCGACTGCTTACTGTAAAAAAAATACCATTAATGCAAAAAAGAAACTCTAAAAAAAGTATGTTCACATCCAGAATCAAACCCAGGTCTTCTGCATGGGAGTACAACATTAGTGAGCTAAAGCGCCAGTGATGTTCCTTTGTATCTGTAACATTTATGTCCTTGATGACAGCTGCAACAACGTCAAACCAAAGAACGGTTCGGAGCAAAAATGGCTATTTTGTTGCTAATTTGCAGGAAATATCTAGAAGAAAGTTCTACAGAAAGTAGCTAAGGGTCCTCAGAAATGTAGCTAGGTTCGTCACTAGGCGTTAGGAACAGCGACAAAGACTAAAGCTACGGATAGCAAATGCTACGGACTGTGCCTGAACGTGAACGCGCATGAAGCAGCCTGCTCGACCCGAGCAGCTCTCTTTTTCTGTGATTTAACAGAAAAACAGGCAATCACAGTAAAAATGCCAGGGCTCATTCTACAGGACCAGGGCATTGCAGGAGAATGTATGAAGAAGAAATTTATTATTTCTATACATGTTTTGGCTGTCAAACTTCCATAATGCCCCTTTAACTAACTGCTACGTCATAAACCATCTGGTGTCAAAGTCATCAAAGGAATTCTTTGAACCTGAGACTAGTTTTTTGTCTTTGTTTAATACACCAATGGTCCACATAGAAAGTCAGATTGGTTTAGTTGTAACAAAAACTGAACCGAGAGCTGCTAAGTGTTCCATCTCTCTGGACATGACGGAAGAACAGAGAATTGTTTTAAGTGGAAAGTCCTATGGTCCCATATGACAATAAAAAAGCTCTCAGGAGGCAGTGAGCAACATCTAAGCCAGAACATATCTTTGGCTGCTTTGAGCCCCAGGTCACAGAAATTGGCAATTATAGAAGACTGAGACTGTCCTTTGAGTATAATCCTGCTTGTATCTCTCTGGATCAGCTAACAGGATAGAATGGAGAGAATTTACCAATGCTTCTCTTCTGCTAAGAGGAGCTTTATATAACAGGAAAATATGTCTGCTGTGTCACAAAGAAATGGTACTCACACTTTTACGACTTATGACGAATTAATTTAAAGTCATGTTTTTGTTTAAGACCAATTCCTGTGATAATAAAAGAAACCCCTCGTTTTTCCGCTCCTGTGTCTGACTCACTGTGGAGGGACTCAAGGATACTGGAGAGGATGGTGAGTCACTGGGAAGTAGATCAAACAAGATTATTAATTAGATTTAGTTTTGGACTCAAAATGAAACAGCTTGGGTTTCTGCTATGCTAAAAAGCTAAAAATAGAATTGCATTTTGAATATTG